GGCGGCGGCGGCAGCAGCAGCAGCAGCAGCAGCAGCAGGAGCGGCGGCCACCGGGGGGCGGCGCGGGGCATGGGGGCTCCGGCAGCGGCGCAGGAGAGGGAAGAAGGCGGCCCGACGCGGGCAGGTGCTGGCGGCGCGAGCGCAGCCCGGCCGCTCTCTCCAGGAAAAAGCAAATCAATAAGCTCGCTGGCCGACTGGGCCAGCGGGGGCCTGGCGGCGGCGACGGCAGTCCCCGAGCGGCCCCTCTGGCTGGCGCAGGCCGCTCCTCCCGCGCCCGCCCGCCGAGCAGAGCGCGAGCAAACTGGCGCCCCGGGCCGCGTGCGCCCGTCCTCCGCCCCTGCCCCGCACGTCGTCCCCGCGCAGCCGCCTCCTGCCTCCTCCCCACCCCGGGAAGCACCGAGTGGGCTGCCGAGCGTTTCGTATTTATACTTCCTTCCCGGCTTTGACATAAGAGGTTTATTTTTGATCTCTCACTATTCCCGTTTCCCCTCCCCTGGGATCAGAGAGAGAAACTGAAAAGAGGGAGCGAGAGAGGAGAGAGAAAAAAAATTGGATGAAATGTAAAACCAATCAGGAGTCAGGGACACGCGCTGGGGGGGGCCCCCCCCCCCCCCCCCCCCCCCACCTCAGTAAGTGTCAACTCCAACTTTTTTCCCCTTCCCTTTACGCGCGGTCCCACATTAACTCCTGCAATGCTGGACTGGCCCTTCAGACAGAGTCCTTTGGGGAGGCCCCAGTTGCTACCTCCTTCAAGGCCAAGTGCCCAGGGCACAGCCTCCCAGAGGCTCCTGCACTGGCCCCAGCGACAGTGTTCCCATCCCTGTAGAATCACTCTGGGGATCCCGACTGTTGTATCCCGACTGCTGGGGATCCGATGTGTAGAAGAGAGGTCTCCAGAGAAGGTTCCAGAGCTTTTCAATTGTAAGGCCCAAAAAGGATGTAGGAAAGGTCATACTAAAATCATGCTCCCCACTAAAAACCACATTTGCACCCCAAGCTGGGGATCGGGGACAAATACCACCTGGTTAACACAACCAAGGTCTCGGTTACTTGCCTTGTCCAAGGGGCTGCAGCGCAGAGCGCAGCACAGCGGTAAATTACGAGAGGTAAGGTTGACAGCAAAGTGGAATCAGAGGGAAGGTGAGGGAAGCAGAGGGGAGGTGAACATTTCCCTAGGAAGGCTGCAGATCTTCAGGAGCTGCAGTTTGGGCCCTGAAAACTTGATTTGAATACTGCTCAGTTTTTTTGGGTCCTTGATGAAAGGTGGCAAGCCCCCTCACATGGCACTGCCCACAGCTGTGGGTACAGATGTGTGTGAGAGTTGATTCCTTCCCACACTGCCATCTCCCCCAGGG